AATCTATGCCACGAAGAATTGAGGCAGTTCTGAAGGCAAAAGGGGGTCCAACCCGTTACTAGCGTGGTGTACCTAATAAAGTGGCCGGTGAGTGTATGTGCTGCTCAGGATGGCAGATTGCAATGAAGTAAAGATTCAAATCAATCTGCTGGCAACTTTTACTAAATGACTTTTGGCATTGGCACTGTGCCCTGAGATGACTTTGTTGCTGTCCATTTATTTTTATGGTTTCTGGACCTTTTTGACTTATATTTTACTAATATTAGAATTGAAGAATTATAATTTCTATTTGTAATAATCTAAAATGTCAAGAGTTTTAATTTAAACTCTGTATAGTAACATTGTGATTCTAGGAAGAAATGCTACAGAAATTTAAAATCGTAAATAGAGATAAAAGTATGATTTGAATATATTGTAAAATGTAACCGTAACTTCCCATATGTTATTCTAGAGCGCAGGCTGAGGTGAACTCACACAGAGAGACTTTTTTGTTGGCTCCACTTAATGTGCATGTGTGCTTCAGTCTCATCACACACACAATGCAATGGCACTAATATGGTGTCTATATTCAAAAATCTATCCACAACAGGGAAGATATTATTTGCTTGTATTTTTTAACCAAGCCTTTTAAGATAATGGCCAGTGTATTTTAAATAAGTTAAACAGAAACAGTGTTGTATTTTAGTATATTACGAGCACTTAAATGTGATAATTTTACCAAACTCTGGCTGAGATTCAGGTCTGCCATGAAGTCATAAACCACTGRGCTGCCATGGACCACCCCTTTCAACATGTCAGCTGTGACCACGATCCTGCGGAAAGCAGCAGGGTGAGGGGAACATCTAGGTGTGAGTGTGCGTGCATGCATGTGTGTGTGTGTTGTTGTGCACCTGTCATAGGGGCAGTTAGTGTGAGACACTGTGGTGTCAGCATTATCTGGGATCAGCCAGTGGAAGCTCTTGTCAGTGAAGAGGCGGATCTGTTCCCAGTCAGAACCCATCACGTAGTTACATCCTGAGTTGAAGTCGCCCAGCAGCACTACGTCCTGCACACAGAGTCACCGTTCAACCAGTTTTTCACCTTCTTTGTGTTATGTTTTGATGTGCTTTCCATGAATGTTTTCTCCTTCAGTTATATTCACATTGGTGTTCCAGCGGTTGCGGACGTCGGTCACCACATCATACAGAGCATCTATCTCCACCACAGCATAGTCTGGAGAGGTGTGCTGAGGGATCAGAGCAAAGTTCTCCACAGCTGCAAAACAGAGACAGGCTGCCTTTTACAMTTAGGGATGACATAAAGTCTACATACAGCGGGTAAAATAAGTATTGAACACGTCAACATTTTTTCTCAGTAAATATATTACTAGAGGTGCTAATGACATGAAATTTTCACCAGATGTCGGTAACAACCCAAGTGATCCATACATAC